TCGTTATTTAATGCTAAAATACCCCCAATCAATTCTTTACCCTTCAGTTACATTGTTTAGGGACCGTTGCGAAATTTCAACACTTGCATCCAAACGAAAAATGTGCAGATCAAGCCACCCACCGATCCGCGCAGATGGAGTAAAAAAATGTTGACATATTACCAAAATCAACAATTTACAATCATAAATAACCAACATTTATTTTATCATTTTGTATCCACGGTGTCGTTGAACTCGCCCTTCCAGTTCCGCGGTTAATTGTTTAAACGCACGTATTGAAATACTGAGACGGTCCATTAGTGGTATTTTAGTGATCAGCCACATAAACTAAAACATAAAGCTTTAAGGAATATATTAACTGAATTTAATAGCAACAACGATTCTATTGTAGTTATACAGCTTTAAATTCTCTAAACTGTATTCCATAAGGTCCATTTTCAATGTACAAGTTTTCACCCACGAAAAAGTCAGTCTAATGCAAATGTAATAAGACAATTTCCATGTAATTGGCAGAAATACCGCGAAAACGCATTCATAGAAATGGGACCTAAAGCTTGGTGTTTTATTCATATCTTTCACTGATAATCGGAGATTCTATTAGCAATTACAATAACGAGACGAGTCCATCAATTTACAAACCATTCGATGATAAATAAGAATGATCATAAATGAAGGGTTTGAGTAAAATTAATTTTTGCCGAGACATTTAAAATTAAAATAATAATTATTATAGATTAAAGTATGCTCAGAACAAAATATACAGACTTTATAATAAATACAAATTTTCATTTCTTATTATACGTATCAAAGAGGAATTAGAACTTCAGGGATTTCCAGTGGTCGGTAAAAAAGATAATTTTCAATTTGTGGTGTGTGAAATGACTGTACCGTTATATGCGCTAATTCGACTGCATGCAAAATTTGAGACAGATTTGTTCGGCAATTTCTAAGATATAGGTGTATTAAGACTTTGCGTACAGGTTGTTTGCATCAAGCTTCTAGTGGTTGTCAGAAGAGAGAAATTTTACAATAAAAAAAAATTAAAAAGTGTTGGATATTTAACTGGTAATGCAATTAAATGGATTTTCTGAAATGGCATTGTTAAATTAATTTCATGGGCGTCAACATCTTATCTTAGGACTACTTACCTCCCTTAGACTTTGTTTATGACAATGTAAAAGACCTGATAATCTAGCCAATAACCTAATATTACCAAAATTTGACAATGCATCCAGACTAGGAAACCGGAGGACCCAGAGAAAACCCAGGAGGTTGGACAGGCGACCCTACTCCTTGTCCCGTACAACCGAGGAATCGAAACCACGCCAGTTGACTCAATGACAGACCGTATGATACAGCACGCACGGTGCTAACTATTCGACCATCCATCCGCCCCCTATTTTTCTGGACGATAGAGACTAAGCGTGTTTTTAACTCCATGTCAAGACAGGAAGTGGCTGCTTTTTAAATTAACAATGTTGCTACTTTAAGTAGACCAGTTCTCTGATTTTTCAACAGTAAGCTGAGTCTACGTATATCTGGATAATTAATATCTATTTTCTTGTTCAAAGTTCTAATTCCTCTTTTTAAATCTATATTATAGATAGTTTTGTAGACATAATTATAAACTATATTTAATTAATAATTCACTATTTAGTTCAATTCAACTTCTTCAAAACGTTAACAAAGTTTATCAATACTGTTTTCATAAACAGACCAAAAATCAGTGTTATTATTAGGGCTGGACGATGTGATATATTGATTTATTAAAACAATCGTCCAGCCCTAAACATAAACATAGACCAAAATCTTTCCTTACTCAAACAAAAGAAAACATCAATGCTATTATTAGGGCTGGATGATGTGATATATTGATTTATTAAAATGATCGTCCAGCCCTAGTTATTATTAATATGCAAGTTTTCGGGTGACAGAACAAATAAATGTTAACAAAATAAAACAAATCAGCGAAAATACAAAAAAAACAATTATTGTAAGTTTATAGGGTAAATATTTGATTTAAAACAAACATTTATTATTCTATATTTAGATTAAATATAGGCTGATAATTTAAGTAATATAATATCTATGTAATTAGTACGTAAATCAACATAAATGGAATATTACGATTATGACCAGGGGCCTCATTCATAAAAACTTAAATTAATATATTTTAAGGATGCAGCCATTTCATTGGTTGAGAGTCAAAATGTTGGCTCTTAGCCAATGAAGTTTGGTCGTTCCTGGAGAGTTTTACGTCTACTTCTACCAAGGGTGATATTGTAGACAAGAGCCAATGAAAGTGCTGAATTCGTAAAATAGTCTAGTTAAAAGTTTTCCTGACTGAGGCCTCAGATAAAATATATTCTATCATATCCAAAATTAAAGAGAGCACCTTGTGGCTCAGCGTGTAAGGTGCTCGCATACTGACCAAGCTGTTTAAACATCATTAAAGTTTCTAAAATTAAACATACATTATGCAAGAGCTAAATCTGTCTATTGCAGGTCTTTCTTTAGGCCTGAAATGTTATCTAAATTATTAATTAGACATTAATTAACTTATCCAGACCATAATCAACTCTCGCTGGCATCGGATACTTAAGATTTTAACTAGATTAGAACGGTTCGCCATTTAAAAATTTAATTTAAAAATGGGAAAATGAGGCCAAGTCTCAAATATACCAGTGCCCTGGTTACCAAAATGCACACATCTGGGCTAAGAACATAATGAAGTAATTTGAATGAAATAACACTCTTGCTGGCTTGACAGCTCCAGAAAATAAATAATAGCCTTATTCTAAGTATTAGATGTTTAAGTATCCTACTTGTTGTGTAAATTATCCATTAAATCCTATTTTACTTATCCAGAGAGTTCGAAAATATTTTTAAATCTAAGTCACATTTGAAAAGCTTTACGTAAGGCTTTTCAAATCATTTAGTTGAATTTTTCCAATTTTTTAAATTAGGTGTGTTAAGATGAAATTTGTATCATCAATTAATTGGAATATTGTAAAATAGTACAATTTGTTGACCAGAATAAAGATTGGGACATATTATTCAGTTACAACAAGAGTGGTATTGAGCCTTTAAGCTATTATAGCAAGAATTGTCAGCTCTTAATCTAAATCTTACATAATGTATCTTTAAGAAATAATAATTCAATTAACTACAGATTAGCTTAAAGCCTAATCAATTTTAGATATGGTAGAATAAATTTTTCCTGGTCATAATATTATGAAAAAAACACCGAATAAAAACAAAAACATATGATTTAATTTCCTTACAACTATGACATATTTATATAATGTTTAAATAACTACCTATTTCCTTCTTAAATTACTAGAAATAGGAAACAGATTCAGAAATAAAATGTTTTTTGCTTACTCTACATTTGGCTAATTGTTCTTTAATTAATTAAAATTTTACTTTCTTCATCCATATCCTCAACTTTTCAAATTTACTGATAGTCAAAAATCTCAAAAAGAAGTATTTCGAAAAGACTGAATATTTTTGAGTTACAAATATATTTTTCCTGGATATGTTTATTCCGCCAGTTGGTTAGATATATAAAATCACGACTTTCGAGGAAATATATCTTTATAATTTTAATAAAATATGAATTTAGTTAAAATACAATCTGTGCATACAGGCCTTAACATCTTAATAAACAGTCAGGCCTCGTATCATAGACTAGATTCCTATGTTTCAATTAAATTCAAGCATTTATATCGAAAAAATGAACTGATAAAAATGTACAACTAAATTTGTCTGAATTAACTTAATCAAAGAAATGGAAACTGATAGAAATTTAAAACTAAATTTGTCTTAATTAATTTAATCAAAGAAATGGAAACGGAATAATTTCCAAGAAAAGGTAAATCTACGAATTAAAATCTGTGTCTATTATAACTAGAATGTAAAATATAATCAGAGATCACTTACAATCATACCAGTAGTCGTTTTAAATAAAACACACATGATTGGATCCGGCCTCTTGTTTGAATTCTATATGGAGGAATCGAAACCCCGCCAGTTGACTCAATGATAGACCGTATGATACAGCGCGCACGTGCTAACCATCCAACCCCCCAGTATACGATTGTAAATGATCCCTAATTATCAACTGGGTTATAGAAGCGCATTTATTTCAAGCTTCCTTTTGAGGTTTATAATGGAAATACTGTAGAAAGGCTGATAACATTTTCTCATTCTTGACAACAGAGTCTACAAAATAGTCTCAGTTGTCAAATATGGAATCCGGATGGAATTCATACAAACTGTCAATAATCATCCCTTGGTCAACTTAAATGACAGATTTATAAATGACCTCTATTTCAGATCAGGGTCAAAGTTCAAATTCTATTTTTATCTATACCTGAGACATAATACACATATCATTCTTTAGAAGTCCTACTGATCTAGACTATATATTTGACAACCTAATAACCTAGTCTACAGTAAAAAGGGTTTGAGGTACTAAAACGGAACAAACTGACCAGAAATCCATGATATACTAAATTTCTATTTACACATATTTATACAATAACTTAAATCGAGGAAATCTGAGAATTATTTTTTTGGTATTCACTGGGAGCGAGAAAAAAGCTGTTACTACGGTTACGGACATCTGTACAAAATCTTTAAATAAATAGCGAGAAAATATTACAATTTGAATATCAACTTTATATCGCAAATTATTATGTCTTGAGCAAAAAATATATCTAATATAAAAAATTGACAAGAAATGTGAAAATATTATGCATCTTTCTGTTTTATTTATAAAAACAATAAAAATCTCAATATTTTTATTATTACACTATCACAGAATATTAAAAATATAAAATCAGATCTGTGCAATATATTTCTTATGCTTTTTAATCTATTGAAAGAAGATCTTAATATAAATAACTTCAGGTAAACTTTGGTTTTTTTATTAGGGACCTCTCGAAGAAAATTTAATCTAAAGGTCAAAATGTCAAATAAATCTAAATGTTCAACCTTTTTCTACAAATATTTCCATTATTACCTAAAAAAAGAAATAGTTTTTAAATACACTTCTTAAATTGAAAATAGTCTAACCCTTTAGAACCAAGTACATGTGAATATTGACTACCACGTGACATTCAAAATGGCTGACGTATGGCCGTCACGATTCCCCAGAGAGAGAAACGAACCGTAAACTTCTCTCTGGGAGCTCGAGACTGATGTTAATATTGACGACCACAGTTTACTGAAAAAAAATTACAGAAAAGTGCCAGTAATATATTTTTGTAATTGTTACATCAAGTTTTGTAGCTCATTTTTGAAATTACCGCTCCCTAGACCACTCAACAGACAGTGTTTGATGAGACGGGGCACATTTATGCACTAGAGGGAGCAGTTGTTTTGAGTGTTTTCTGGTAGACTGGGTGCTAAAGGGTAAAAATATTTTTTAAATATGTTTCAAGTTAAAAAATGTTTGAAAATATTCAAATTTTTTTTTGTGAAAACTAATAACGATAAAATTTAAACGAGGAACATTTTAAAATTAAGAAGTTGTTTTTATCCAGAATATTCACCAGTCCACAGCGTAATGACTGTCCGAACGCCACCATGAAAGAAATGTGAAGACATCATTTTCAAAAACAAAATATTTGCCGTTTAAAACATCTGTTTGTCAAAAACATTTCTTAAACAATACCTTTCACAGAGTCCTTTACACATCAAAGGCTTTGCCAAAATCCAGCCCAATTCTAAGAGAGTGCATGTCGGAAACATGTTATTACCATCCAGATTCAAGAATAGACTGTGTAAATTTTTTTGAAAACAACCTCTTCACGTTTCCCTCTTGGTTTAAAGGTCGAAGTTATTTTGCGTTTTATTTTTCATAATATAAAATTTAATCCTCTTGCTAACATTTAAATTACAAACATTTACATTTACATTTACATTTAGGTATCTGAGACTAAAAGTTAACATCTAAAAAAAAATATTAAAAATTATTTCTTCTACATCTTTGATTTTGTTCTCTGGAAATTGCACGGTTTTCATCTTTCGGTTTTCTTGGCCTTGTCTTGTTCTAAGATCTACGTATTATAAATATTACATGTACATTAAAACAAGAGATTAAAAAAATTCATTTATCAAACACAAAACATTACGTCCACAACGTATTTTTGGTCTGATATCGAAATCACTTTAAAGACATTTCTTCACATTGATATGATTTCTTTGTTTATTAAAAATCACATCACTTTAGAAATATTTCCTTCGGCACAATTTTCGACGAAATATCAAACGTCACAGTCTGTTAACACGGTGAAGATTTTTATATAAAAGCGTGTACGTGTATGTCACATCAAGGGGAGATAAATCACTCATTTATGCTGATATTTAAATGTACAGGCATGATTATGACAACAAAAAATATTTTCCTTTTAAAAATTGCTCGACTCGAAACAATTCTTGATCACGTACAATGTATATATAACACACCACACCAGAAAGCACTTGTTGTCTTTGGGTTTTTTTTACTGTCAATAACGAAATTCAGTATTTTTTCCTAACATGACCAGCGTGCCACGAAATTACACCACAAAGCATTTGCCATCAATCACAAAATATTTCCATCTTTAAAAATATAAATTAGATGAAAACACTCGTCAATTAATTGCCGATTGCATGATATTAATGATTATTGTACTCTGAACGAAATACGGACAACGTATTTTTGTTCATTTGGCAGATCAACGAATGAAAACGCACAGATACAGAGAAACACAGAAAAATCGACCAATCACAAGTGAGCTTTTTCCATTTGACAATATCTAATACATCTAAGCACTATGTGAGAGGCTAAGACATCTGATGGTTTTTTGATATTCAGACGGCGAGTCCATCGATCTATAAGATGACTAGACAGCTTTGATTCGAGACCCACAAAATTTATATGTTGATTTGTTTTCTGGGAAGGCAATCTGTCTACGTAGAAAATGTTACGATTATAGATAAAGCCAGTGTTATGATTGATTTTGTATTTCACTGTCCACACAGAAAGCCAAAAACGAAACTAAAATTTGTCAACAAGCCGACTATCGATTAGTCCTTTGAAAAAATTAAATTTTCCAGAGGTTGCTCATCAATTAATCGAAATGACGGAACAGATCAAACCAATGCCTTTTGACTTAAATCATAGAGGTTTCTCTAATTTAAGATGCGCGGCTGGAATCGGCTGGATGCAGATTTGATCAAATTAAAAAATATAGCTTTCTAAAGAATTTTGATTCTCTTTTAAGTCCAAGTTACGCACGTCAAATTTTAAAATAAAATTAGCACCGAATATGTTTTCTCCAGACATATTGTATTTTGACATTGTAATGCTTTTTTTTTTTTCGAACACAGTATTTCAGGTGTTGTAGTTTCACTTCATTTGTTGGTGTCGCGAGACAACTTTCTTGTACATTATGTTTCCTTTTGTAATGAAATTGTCTGTGTTTATAAATAGTCTGATCTTGATTTGATGTTGTTTTGAAGTATGTATTGTTTCTCGTTATTGCGAGTTATCTGTCACGCCATTCCGTATGTTTCTTTTAAAGTGTTCATGCCGACATCATCAGTCATACTGTGTCCTCCGCTATTTAATTTGGCTGGAATCATGTGCTGCTGGGAGATAAACTCAGGTTGGTATTTCTCCATCAATCCCATATAATCCCCTGTGGCGATTGGGTTTGTCCAAGTCGTTATTTGTGGAGTGGGTGAGGACTGTCGACATTCGTAAAGATTTTGCGGCACACTTCTATGATTCTCGAAACTATTCACGAACAGAAACCCGTGACCACCCTGTCTCTGTGCCGCGTCAAGATCAAAATGTTCGCTGTGCCAGCTTTTTGGTCGTATGGTTGGCATGGTTAACATGGTACCAGTATCGCTAGGACAACAGGCCGACCATCTTCGCGAGTCTGCATCCAGAGAACTTCCAGACGGATGAGAATTGGATGACTTCATGGTGGAGATATCGTAAGATCCACCCGATGAGACGCTGTTCGTGTGCATCAGGGACGTATCATTACATAAGGCAGTAATCAGCGGAAATGACATTGCGTGACTACGTATATTCTCCAACTCGGGGTGTAATTTTTCTTTGTGGTTTTTAACGTTTACTTTATGATGTTTCTTCTTCCCTTTTACGACACCTTCTGGATCTTTTTCTTTCTTTTTCTGAAAATTGATTTATTTGTAAACAAATATAATTAGACAATTTCACAATCTGATCATACAATCTGATTAAAATACAGATCTATTTTTCGTTTCATTTTTTTAATACCACATGAAGATCTAACCAGTTGTAGTAAAAGGTTGCGTCAGAGGTTGTACAAACGGCTTTTGACCCTACGAGTTCAGACATTGATTAATCAATCAGCATTGACGTTTCTAGTGGTTTACCCACAGTTCCGTGCATTGCACGCCAAGAAATCGCCGTAACAGATGGTTTCATTGGCTAATCCCTCATGCCATTCAGAATGCAGGTTACATAACAACTCTTCCAGATCCTAGTGTAGTACAGACAAATAAAACAAAATTTAAACTATAAAAAATGAAACGAAATAGGATCTGTGTTTTAATCTAAAAGGAAAATTGCAATAATAAATAATTATTATAATAAGATTTTATTTCTTAGTCCAATTTAATGAAATGAAATGGAATTTAACGTCCTACTGTTATGCTCCAAACTAGGCTAATGAAGATAGGCATACACCATACAGTGTGCTATGAGGGAAATTTTGCCTGGACAGCGGCACTACAGCCTACTCTTATATCGAATTCCAACGGTCAAGGGATCTTCTGTCTTTGTCAGGACCTCCGTCTTGCACCAGAAAATTTGATAAATTTTCTCAACCAACACAGCGCGCGAACCTTCAACCTCCAGACTAGCGAGCCAGTGTCATACTCACTTAACCACCGTGGCACCAACCAGGCTAATAAAGGAATAAAGACAGGCATACGCCATCCAGTATGCTATGACGGAAATTCTGGCCAGATAGTGGGACTACAGTCTATTCTTATACATCAAATTAAAACTGCCAACAGTTCTTTTACATGCATGCCAACATGTATACAGAACCTTGGTTTTTCTTCCCATCTAAAAGACTGCATCACTGGAGACCCAGTCGGAAAATTCTGAGGAACTTTCTTAGTCATCATTAGGATCAGCGAGCAAGCGCCTTACTCACTGAGCCTGGTCATTATAAGAAAGTCGCCTGAAAGGATCATTTCATAAGTTACTACTCACCTCTATTTGAGCATCTTCTTCGTGTGTTGAGTCAGTAACATCCAGATATTTTACGTCTGATGTTGTTGATTTGGGTACCACCGAGCTCTGCATGGTTTGTACACGATTGGCAGGAATTTCAGCCACTACTGTGTTATCAGCGAAAGCCAGAGGTGGCGTAAAAACTTCCGTGGCCTCCTGTAACGTACCCTCTATCCTGTCCCCCTGATTCACCGGGAAGTATGTGGGATCTGAGACTGAGAGAGGAATAATACCGGGACTGAACTTCGGAGGACTTGGATCCACAGGAATCAAGTTAAATCCATCTTTAATTGGAATTGGTTGAATTCCTGCAGTTGGATGCTTCTCTGAAGCTGCTACAGACATTGCGGCACTGTAAGGAGGAGGGTCGGGTAAGTTCATGTAAGCGGGCGTGGGGTTCTGATGGTCGAGAGCATAGGCCATGTGGTACATGGGTGGTGCTGGTTCATTCGGGACCAGTGTTGAGCTGGAGCTTGGGAAATTCTTTGGATAAGGTGGTGGAGAAGACTCCATATTAACAGCAGGATAACCTGTGGTGTAAATGGACTGTGCTGGTTCAGTCGGTGTTAATCCCACACTAGAACTTGGATAGCCCATGTGAAAAGCAGAAGTGGGTTCTTTCGGCGATATTCCAGTGCCAGAGATAGGAAAAGACAAGTTATACGCTGGAGGAGACGGATCATTACAAGGTGGTAGATTCGATGTTTGGTTCGTGTAACCTAGGTGATACATAGATTGACCTTTATCACTACCTGGGGTCAAGGCCAAAGTTGAGCTGGGTGATGGCGTAGTATCGGGAGTTTTCAGTGTCGTCACTGGAAGTAACGGCTGGTTAAATGATGATGGGGCTGTTGACACAACTGGAGGACACACTGGTTTATTTGGTAGAACTGTGATGCCTAGACTCAGTGGTTTTGATTCAGTGGATGATGAAACTAGTGAAGCATCAGATTTTGGGTCCAGAGGCTGAAGAATCATCTGGTTCTTCAAACTTTCTTTACGACTGACATTTCTACTAACGGGGCGCGACGTCTTCTCCACGTCGGCCTTAATCAGCGCCGGGGGAGAGTGGAGAACGAAACCTGTGTTACGTGCTGGATATATGGGCATGGGCGCCGATTGTTGGAGCTTGCTACGATAGCTGCCAGGGGTGTTGATGGGGGATAGTGGTGGTGGATGTGTTACACCAGGGGAACGGGGTTTATATAGTTCCACAGAATGAGGTGATAAAACGGGACTGGGATTACTGGAGGCAGATTTCTTATAATCTAAAAATAAATAAAAATAAAATATTTCTTACTTTTAAAGATACATTATGTAAGAGCAATGGGGTTTAACATCTACTCAACATAAAATAGATCATTTTGGGACTAACATATGGTTCAATTTTATTTCAAAAATTCATTTACGCATAGGGAGGGGTTTTAGCAGTGGGAGGAAACCAGAGGGCACAGAGAAAACCCACGATGTTGGACAGGCGACCCTATTCCTTGCCACATACAACCGGGGAATCGAAACCATGCTAATTGACTCAATGACAAGACTTTATGATACAGCCTGCAAGTGCTAACCATTCGGCCATCCAAGACCTTACCCACCCCCCCCCCCCTCGACTGAAATAAGTGTGATATAGAAGTATACAAGTAGTAGTATACAGGGTGCATGTGCTAACCAGTCGGCCCTCCATCCCCTGTATAGAAATATTCAAGTGATATAGAAGTATACAAGTACATACTATGAAAACTGTTAATTATGTGAGCAAACTTGGATCTTGGTGTACTTGGTGTTGTTGAACTACCAGATCCAGGTGGTGAATCTATCAATATCTCCTTATTATGATCAGCTGAAATTATACAAATAAAATGGGGTTTAAAGATACTTTCTGGTGGTTTTTTCCAACAAAAGTATGATAATTTTGGAAAGTAGAGACACCCAATCTTACTAGAAAAATACTGGATTTCTTGAAAAACACCCGTGGAATGCGCACAGGACAAAATTGAGAGGGTATAACTAATTGGCAATCTGACAATTAATGGCTGTCGGTTCGAGTGACGTCATTACAGAAATGAAATGGGGTGTAACGTTTCAACATCCTACTTTTCTGCACCAATGGGGTTAATGATAACGGGCATGCAAATGAAATGGAGTTTAACGTCCTAATGTTTTGCTCTGATGAGGCAAGGGTAAATATGTATTCACGATGATCAAGGAATGTGACATATTATTATCTTTTAAAAATCAATTAATTTAACACATACCATCACTGTCGTCGAAACTGATAGTCATCTTATCACTGACAATCCCTGACGTCGTGTTAGAGCTAACGTCACTGACAACTGAATATCTTTGATTACCACTGGATGATCCAGACTTGCTGGGCGATAATTTGACTGGACGATGTTGTATCCAGTTACCATTAGCAACCAGATCACGTGCATCACTGTATATATAGGATTCCCTATATCGTCTTTTATCTGATGAAATAAAATGGAACACAAAATATTTATGCAACTTGACCTTAGTGGGTGCTAGTGGATTGTCAGGCCAGGCCCTGAGTTCACAAAGCATTCTCAGGCTAAATTAAGAATTTACTCAAAATCGTTCGCCTTATTTTAACTAAAATATAGCCCTTTATAAAACTTTGGTTGTTTTAATGTATCACATACTCCAATAAAAAACTATGTGCAAAGTTTTGTATTTCTGAATCAAAGATATTTCTCATAAACAGTGATTGAAAGTTGAGTAAATTCTTTACTTAAGTCTGGGATGCTTTGGGAACTCGGGGTCCGAATATAGTGAATTAACAGAATGTTCTCCTGTTACAGTTTTGCCAGGAGAAGAATAACAATCTGGTTATATTATATTAGGGCTAAGTTGAATTCAAGTTGTCGCTGGAATGTCTATATGGTCAGGATTATAATAAGGTAGTATTTGGTGGTGTTTGGTGGTGTTTGGTAGTATTGGTCCTGCCAGTCTATATTGTCTATTCATCATATCTTGGTAAATACGAAACGGAATTAAACCATTATTTGATTAATATTCCCTTCAGAGATTCAACTTTTGCAATATTGTACTTTATAAGGGATTACAAATGAAGATTAGCAGTCTTAAGTAATTAATTTGAGTACATTTAAGGACTGATGTTCTTTTTAAAGATTCAACTTTGATAATATTGTTGTTTGCAAGAGATTTCTCAATCCTGCAAGTGAGTGTATTTTAAAGTGGACTGTCATGAAAATCTTAGATTCTCAAAATTAAGATAATGACTTGGTTAAAAGAGAAAATGAAATGAAATGGAGTTTAACATCCTACTGTTCTGCCAATGTGTATACGGGACATTATTTTTTTGTACCATCCAAACGACTAGACAGCTGTCCTTGTCAGGCCCTCCCTCATGCACCACTGACAAGGGGAAACCAAGTTAGAAAATCTAGCTGAACTTTCTCGATCAATGCAGTGATCGAACACGCAATATCCAGGCTAGCGAGCCAGCGTCTTACTCACTTAGCCACCGTGACCCCTGGTTGAAAGAGAGAAAAGATGGCCGATGTTTTACCTTCTGCATCTAAATGTCTTATTTCCATCAACTTGGGTTGAATGTCCATCTGAAATATGTGTGTTGCTCGACATATTGTCAGTAAATATTTTGATGTGACGTCGCTATCCGTGTAATATGTAAATTTACGGCCATCAGGACAGCCAACGGCACGAATCTCAAACTTCTTTTTCTATAAAAAAAAAAAATAAATTGAGATTTTCTACAAAACATAAAAAAATATACGGTAGAGTAGAACGAATAAATTAGTAAAAAAGACGAGACAGTGACAGAATTTCACATTCTAAATAAATGGAAAATTGTTCGGAAACAAGCATCAGTGTGGGAAATGAAGTTAAATAAAATGGAGTTTAACGTCTGACTGTTTTGCACCGAATGGGGATACATCATTCTGTGTGCTATGAGGAAACTTTGCACGGACAGCGGCACTAAGGCCTATTCTTATATTGAATTCCAACTGTCAATGGATCTTTTACGTGCACATTGATGTGTACACAGGACCTTGTTGGTTTTTTTTGGTCCCATCTGAATGACTAGACACTGGGCTACTCTTTTGTCAGGGAATCTTTAGCATGATAACATTGGTATATACGGGACAATAGATTTGTATCCCATTCGAACGTCTAGACACTTATCCTTTCCAGGCCCTACTGACAAGAGAAAACATGGCTGGAAAATCGGGAGAAACATTGTCGGACAACACAGGGGTCTAACGAAAGATATCCTGTTCGGTGAACCAGTGCTATTATCACCAAGCCACAATGCCTCAAGCCCTTCGGTACGAATAATTTTTATATTTCATTGCAATAAAAATGTTCTTCAATATATTCATGCATGGATCTCTACATTTAGAAAAAAAAAAAAAAATCGAAATCTAATAAAAGAAATACTTACATCAAAATATAGTCGTCCAATATCTGGCCATAAAAATATGGAAATAAGATTTCTGAACCTGTCGTCAACTTCCTAAAAGTAAAAATATTTCAATATCAAACTACTGACATACAAACACGAATTAATTTTAATTCCGATGAAGATTCCAAACTAATTCTTGGTCCAAGATAAAGTTCATGACATTCTCCAAGTGGCTGACCATTTCTTATATACAGTCGTGGTAATCATCTAATCTACAAATCTACTGTCATGAAGGTGACAAGTCTGTTTTATGATGAATTATTATGGTACACAAATAAAGTTGTACATCAATAAGTCACATGCTTGACAGAATGATTAGAAATAGAATCGGATCACATGTCTTATTTTTCTGCTCCAACTGGGCTAATGAAGTGTACTATGAGGGGAATTTTGCCTGGACAGCGGCACTATGTCTTAGTCTTATTTTGATTTCCAGTGATCAGGTCATCCCTTCCCATCCCATCTTGAGGAACATTCACGACTAACACCAGGACCTCCTGGTTAGTAAGCCAGCAACCGAACTCAATGAGCTGTGTCTCCCGGAATCATAGTTCAGTATATCAATGAATTTGGGAGCGCAAGAGAGACACAGAGAGAGAGACGTGGTTTAGCATCCACATAACGAGAGGGAGAGAGAAATGGGGTTTAACGTCCACTCGACACAAACTAGGTCATTTCGGGACTAATATATGGTTTAATTTTATTTACATAATTCGCTTGCGCGTAGGGGTCTTTAGCAGTGGGAGGAAACCGGAGGACTCGGAGAAAACCCACGAGGTTGGACAGGCGACCCTACTCCTTGCCACGTACAACTGGGGATTCGAAACCACGCCAGTCGACTCAATGACAGACTTTATGACACAGCGCACGCACGCTAACCATTCAGCCATCCAACCCCCCACATCCACATAACACGGTACTAAGAATCCAGAGGACCTGACAGAAACTAAATCGACACGGGAAAAATAATAAAATGAAATGGGGTTTTAACGTCCTACTGTTCTGCTCTGACTGGGGTAATGAAGACGGGTAAACGCCAGTGTGCTATAAGGGGAATTTTGCCTGGACAGCGGCACTAAGGCCTACTTTTATATTGAATTCCAACTGTCAAGGAATCTTTTACGTGCACGCCAATGTATACACGGGACCTTGGTTTTTCGTCCCATCCTAACGACTAGAAAGCTGTCCTTGTCCGGCCCTCCATCCATGAATTTGAGACGGACATTATCAGTGATGGGCGACTGCCTAATCCTTCCAGTTGTCCTTACCTCGTATATTTCAATGCCTCGCGGACAAACGGCCAACCACGTATTCCATAGTTTATCTGTCTTCTTTTTCTTGACGCGGTAAAAATGTAAGTTATGCGCTGATGGAATAACAGATGCTTCTTTAATATATTTTAATTCTGCATCCGATCGGGTGAGATTTCGGTTATCTTTGTGGATTTGTGGAGTATTCTGTTTGATGAAATCTACACCTCTCTTTTCAATGATCTGAAAGTTTATAATGGTAGTTAAAAGTTATTTTCAGTATTTACACAAATCTGTTTTTCGTAACGCTTCGGGACTAAGATATGGTTCAAATTTATTTCAATAATTTGCTTGCGTGTAAGGGTCTTTAGCAGTGGGAGGAAACCATAGGACCTGGAGAAACCCATGAGGCTGGACAGGCGACCCTTCGGAGAATCGAAACCACGCCAGCTGACTCAATGACAGACCTTCAGATACAATGCGCACGCTCCAACCCCCCCAGAAGCAAAATAAAACATGTGGATGACATTTCAACATATGATCATTCATCACATACAAGCTGGAAATCAACACCATGCCATTTGACTCAATGACAGACCTTGTGATAAAACGTGCATGCCTTAAGCCATTCGGTCATCCAACCCCCAGTACGAATAGTCCTGGGGGACGAATTATTCAGAGTCGGATAGTCCAAGGGGACGAATAGTCCTGAGGGATGAATAGTCTCAGGGGTGAATTATACTGGGACGAATAGTCTCAGGGGACGAATTTCCGGGAACGAGTTGTCTAGGGATGAATTGTCCCGTACCTGTACATTGTTAATACAAGTGGTTTGTTGAAGTGACTTACCCAAGAAGGAAAATATTGTTTTGGATCAAAATAGTTATCTGTGTGACGTTCTGGTGTTAATGTTCCATAATCTGCCTGGAGGGCATGACCCACCATTTGAAAACATTTCTCTTCGCTGTTTAAATTATTATAATTTAAAACATTTTCTTTCAATTGAAGATAATATAAATGACGAGTGACTTTCTCTCTGAAAGAAAGAAAAAAAAAAACATGGTTAAAGAAAAGGAAAGGAATCTATCACCTCATCAACACAATAACTTGATGTATCATGCACTTATTTTTGTTGGTTTTTTTTGGTGACATATGCAATGCTAGAAAGGAGAATTCAGCGCAGACAGTGACGGTTCCATCTTCTCTCCATTCATTTCCAGGTTGTGTGTTCAATCCCTGCATTGGCTGAGAAAGTTCATAAGGAATTTTACGACATGGAGGTCATGACAAGGGACAATGTACATGTATAGTCATTCAAATGAAATAGGGATAACATCCTACCATTAGTATTTGTCAGTGGTCAGTTTATTGCTCAATTTCGTACTACCGTGGGAGATCACGGTGGCTAAGTGGGTAAGACACTGGCTCGCTAGCCTGCAGGTGAGGTGTTTGATCCCTGCATTGGCTGAGAAAGTTCATCCAGATTGTCTGGCGTGGTTCCCCCTTGACAGTCATGGAGGACGGAGGGCCTGACAATGACAGTTGTCTAGTCGTTCTTATATGGAATTCCAACGTGCACAGCAGTGTGTACGCACAACCTCAGTCCTGCATTAATGACAAGGAGAAATCATGCCAGAAATCCTGAGGAATTTTTTCTGCCAACACCGGGTGTGAGTCTGAGATATCCAGCATCTTACATACTGAGACATCCAGCGATCCAGCATCTTGCATACTGAGACATCCAGCGATCCAGCATCTTGCATACTGAGACATCCAACGAGCCAGCATCCAACGAGCCAGCATCTCACTCACTGAGCCACTGCAGCTCCCATGTAACTTCAGTATAATATCAATAACTTACCTGAGTAAAACAACTTGATCTACATAAAAATGAACTCGAAACCAAACTGTTAAGATGGGTCTATTTTGGCTGTCATAACCCTGTAACATATAAAAAGTTTTATAATCAGTGAAGAAACCATACTCCTCGCAGTGTTTCGTTTGATTAGAACTAATCCCACTAAACACTGCTTTTTTGGAAGCAAATTTTTGTTCCAAGCAAATTTTTGTTCCAAATTATGAGTGGTCAATAGTCTGATTGACAACCAATAGCTAACTGCGTAACAAAATCGTTAAATTTGAAACAAAGCTCCAAATTGGACCAAATATGTTTACATAACGCTACGTCATGACTCACGATTTTATTATTCCCAATTAACCAGTGCATAGAAGAATATTGCAGAAAAACTAATTGATTGACAAACGAGGCTATCGACACAGATACAATGTAAACAATACTGTATGGAGACGAAGAATAATTTCACCGTTTTTAATACCTTAAATCACTGATTTGATTGAACGGGAAGAATAGACACACTCTCTCAAAAGCTCAAGTATCAGAAGCCAATTCAGCAATGGGTAGAGAGGGATTTCTCGGACCATTGCTTCAGGAATATGTGCAGAAACATGATTAGCAACAACTACCGGGTATTACATGTACATGTACTGTCTGTGCCATCTATTTTATGAAATGGAGACTTTGTTTACAGTAGTACGAAATGAAATGAAATGAAATGGGGTTTAATGCCCTACTGTTCTGCTCTGAACTGGGCTTATGAAGACGGCATACGCCATACAGTGTGCTATGAGGGAAATTCTGGCCGGACAGTGGCATTACAGCCTACTCTTATATCGAATTCCATCTGTCATTGGATCTTTTACGTGCATGCCAACGTGTACACGGGACCTCGGTTTTTCGTCCCATCCGAACGACTAGACAACTGTCATTGTCAGGCCCTCCATCCTCCATGACTGTCAAGGGGGAACCACGCCGGACAATCTGGAAGAACTTTCTCAGCCAATGCAGGGATCAAACACCTCACCTGCAGGCCAGCGAGCCAGTGTCTTACCCACCGTGATCCCCCCACGGTAGTACGAAATTGAGCAATAAACTGACCACTGACAAATACTAATGATGGTGAAAAACTGTCTGTTCAGCTTTCTTACCTCCCCTTGACAAGTCTTCCATTTCTTTGGTGATTGCTTGTGGATTTTCTCATCCAGTGCTACAAACTGGAACTCATTTTCTGAAACAGATAACAGATGGTCAAGTCCTGTATAGTTTCTAGGTAACGTTACATCCAGGGGTTTACCATGTTCCTGAAGCAACGACTGCGAGTTTTACAACATCTGGACGTTGCTTGTTTACTTCAGAATTCCCGAACTTATAGATGTGTTATCTACAGACAAGTGAACAATAGCGTCCAATCAGAGGTTGTGACATTGCGACCTCCACGCAAACCTTGACATCGAATGAACCTTGAACTTTGCAACTTGATTATCACAGGTAGACATTTTAGCTGGAAAGCGCGAGATTTGGTATTTGTGATGATCAAGGAATCTGATAGGCTCACAAGTTGGGCTTGTACCCAATTGAAATTGGAGTCGAAATATGCAGGGTATTACGTGAAGGCCTTGAAAAGATGTACGTAGTTAAAGCAAGATCAAGACTTCTATTGAAGATGGGGGTTTACTGACAATACAATTTATTAATTGTCAATTAAGTTGTAAAACAGGGCATTATAAACTGTAAAATCATTACAAAGAGATAGAGAAATGGGGTTTAACGTCCACTCAACACAAAATAGGTCATTTCTGGACTAACATATGGTTCAACTTTAATTCAATAATTCATTGTGCATAGGGATCTTTTGCAGTGGGAGGAAAACCATAGGACCCAGAGAAAACCCATGAGGTTGGACAGACGACCCCACTCCTTGTCACGTATAAACGAAAATAGAAACCATGCCAGTTGACTCAATGACAGACCTTATGAAGCAATGCTCACACATTAATCATGCAGCCACCTAACCCCTCAAATTTTGCTAATCAACATAAAAAAGCTCAGTTTCAATTCCAATCAAAGAAATAAACATGTCATTGATTCACTCAAGACTTGAAATATCTGGGAATTAAATGTAGTTTTTTATAAAATGATTTTTGTTTTATTCAAGAGAGAGGAATTTATGAAATCAATAGAAACTACCGGTATATAAAATATACTGCGTTCATACACATGTACAAATAAATTACCTTTCTTAAAAGCTAGTCCGAAATATTCCACTTCACGTAAATTAAGGTGAGTGGCTACTTGATTAAATACTTCTTGAAACTTGGATTTAACCTGGAAAAATAAAAAACATAACAATTTCATTCTTAAAGGTCCATTTTTAAAATGAAAGAGAGAGAGAGAGAGTAATGGCGTTTAACATCCACTCGACCCTACCCCTTGTCACATACAACCGGGGATTCGAAACCACGCCAGTTGACTCAATGACAGACCTTATGTTACAGCGCACACATGCTAACCATTCGGCCATCCAACCCCCCCGATTTAAAATGAAATGAAGTTTAACTTCCCACTGTTCTGAACCAACTGGGCTAATGGAAACGGGTTTACGCCATACAGTGTGCTATGAGGAAAATATGGCGTACTCTTATATTGAATTCCAACTGTCAAAGCTTCTTTTATATGCTCGGGACCCCCGTTTTTCATAATGTGTTTCAGCGCCATTTGAAACAAGGGACTCAAAGAACGAGGCTAGACACATTCAACAAGTCACAAGTCAAACGGGGACGCCATATTCTTATCTGGAGAGCATGGGCAATAAATACTATTGGTGTAGACTGGAATAACTAGACGCTAAAGATTGCCGTTTGATTGAGACTTCTGGCGTATTTCGCCAAACATAACTGATTTCAACGAAACGATTTAATGTAAATAAGTTTATATACAGTATATTCATATTACATTATTATATGTTGCGACCCATTTGTGTCAACTTCAAGGTCCCAAATATTTGCGATTTAGCTCCTTTAAGTTAAAAGTTACACGTACATGTATTTCAATTGTGAGTGCCAAATACTCTAAAATTTGAGCAATTGACAAACCTTACAATAGTATAATAGATAGACAAACAACATCTACAAGTGTTCAGCAAAACCCGAAATTATTTTTTTTTTTAAATTTCGGGCAGTCACCTACAAATGTACATGTACATGTACAGTAGATTTCAACTTAGAAGCAATATTTATAGTTTAATTGTCAATGTGTCACGATTGTTTATCATATATTTTGTAGAACTGTATGTCAAAGATAGAGTGAGCTATGATTTAGAACAGATCGGATCTCTCTCTTTCTTGTTAATAACTGTTCTATGTTTAATAAACTACATAGAATTCACAACAGCTAGGTAGTGTTAAGATTGACTCTTTGATGTTAACAAGCTATAGTGTGAACTGAAGGCCATGTGAATAGACTGAGGGGAGCTGACATTTAACTCTTGTTTTATAGGAGAGAGAGAGAGAGAGAGAGAGAGAGAGAGTACATGTACACTGTAATTAAGATAAAGTCAGATTTAGTTTCTATTCCGGTTTCATCAATGACAATTCTAGTTTCAGTTTCACAACCAAACATTGCCTTCAACATATCAATTTTCAACTAGTTTAATGAGGTCATAGACATTTTATCTGTTTATAATATTAAAGAGACATTATCTTATCACTTTCACCCATAAAAGAAATGTACAGACATTAATTTTGCATTCCATGTACATGCAAATGAGAGAGAGAAAGAAATGGATTTTAACGTCAACTCGACACAAACCTGGTCATTTCGGGACTATGATATGGTTCAACATTATTTCAATAATTTTCTTGTGCGTAGGGGTCTTTAGCGGTGGGAGGAAACCGTGAGACCCGGAGAAAACCCATGAGGTTGGACAGGCTTGTCACATACAACCGGGGAATCGAAACCGACATGTAAATGAAATCAACTACATGTACAATGTATTTGTCATTTTGAAATGCAGACTACCAGTTTTCGTATTTTCTATTCTTTTCCTTAAGATAACATTGTTTAAAGATACATTATAGGAGATAAGATAAAGAGATGGCAGTTCTCGCTATAATAGTTAAAAACTAGATAGTGTAAAGGTAATTTGCTGAAAATTTCAGTCAAATTGATCCACTATGAGACGAGAAACAAGCGGGTGAAATTTTTGCATAGTCTTGGTCATCATTACTTAAATCATTAATATAAACAGCATAGTCTCGATTATCCACTTTTTTGGATTTAATTATCACTGGCCGTTAGCGGCATATTGGAATCTAATCCAGCCAACACCGAAGGCTAGCCTTGACATCGAGAGTTTATTATCGTCTGGATAAGTTAATTAATGTCTAATTGATTATTTAGATAACATTTCAGGCCTAAAGAAAGACTTGTAATAAGCAGATTTTGCTCTTGCATAATACATGTTTAAACCATTTTTTTTTTATTTACATGTACATGTAACACCTTTTCAATTTGATAACATCATTTAAACCCCTTTAATACCCTTTCTTTTGATTTAAGGGCGTTGAGCAGTCTAAAATGCACATTTTAAAGCTAGCACTGTAATTTTTGTTGATAAGATATGACATTTTTTGTTATTTGGGGTGACAAACTACATATTAATCACCCCAAAAATACCAATTTTATTTACCAACTATGTTCCAAACTTGGCCCAAAACCATGTTAATAAAGAGTGCTGATGACAACAAAAGTCAAATTTTCTCAGTTATGCTGGCATGGATTTTCATCAATTTTGGCATGAACACTGCTAATTGCAATTCCCCCAAAAAAACACAGAATAATTTTTGGCTATAGACTGTGGTTTATCTGGGCCCGGTTCATAGAAAATTCTTAAAGTAAGCACAAAGTCGTGCTTCACTTTTTCTCACGTAAGAAACTTATAAAAAATACCGTCCCTAGACAATTCTCAAGACCATTCTTACTTAAGCACAAGTCAAGTGTAAGTCTAAGCACATTGTGACTGGTAAAGTTTACCATAAACTGAGACTACGATGCTCTTTAACGTCATAAAAACAACTTTGGTATGCGAATTACGTCATAAATTTGTCGTCTGCTTCCTTGAAGTCATATATAATATATGGTTGATTTAGATGCATTTGACATGTCCCCTATACACATATAAAATGTGCCACAAGATACAAAAAAACGTAGACACATACAAACTAACTGAATAATTGTGAGAGCGCCTGATCTTAAAGTAGCCTGTGTGTTGGTAGCCTATTGTTTACTAATTGGCAAATAAATAAAGTGGTTTCAGGGTAGAAGCGAAATTTTCTATAGCATTCTTAATTTCTTCTGGGGAAATGAAATGAAATGAAATGAAATGGGGTTTAACGTCCTACTGTTTTGCTCCTAACTGGGCTAATGAAGACGGGCATACGCCATACAGTGTGCTATGAGGGAAATTTTGCCCGGACAGCGGCACTACGGCCTACTCTTATATCGAATTCCAACTGTCAAGGGATCTTTTACGTGCACGCCAATGTGTACACGGGTTCTTCTGGGGAAGGATTTTCTCTTTCTCTTTGGTATCAAAAGGTGTCGGAAATGCCGTCGAATAACTCTACGATCAGCCATCTTTTTGAAGCAGAAACAGACTTAAGGTTGGTAAGCAAGCCATATACCTTGCTTGGGACTTGTGCTTAGATTGACTATGTTTAAGAACGAAGTTATGCTTAACGTTCTTGTGCTTACAATGAAGTCTACTTAAAATCTAAGCACAAGAACGTTCTTAAGAATTTTCTGGGAACACAAAATAAGGTAAGTTTACTTAAATGCAAAGTCTACTTAAAATCTAAGCACAAGAACGTGCTTAAGAATTTTCTAGGAATCGGGCCCTGGTATCTATGGAAATGCCAAAAAACAATGAGTTTTCTGGAAATTATATTATTACTGTACATGCTAAAAAGAGATGGATAATCCCCTCCTTGGATCGAAAGTAGAGGTTATAAGTGACATTTTGACACCATAAACATCATAAAATATCAACTCCTTTAGCAGGAGGAGGAATCTGGAGTTCCCTGGAGATACCCATCGAGTTGGACAGACGTCCATACTCCTTGTCACGTACAACAAGCGGGGAATCGAATCCACGCCACTTGACAATGACAGACCTTACGATTTACCTAGCATTTGTTAAACCATTCGGCCAGCTACATGTACCCCCCCGCCTCACCAAACATAAATTAAAGATACATGTACATTATGGGAGATTCGATAACGAGTTGGCAGTTCTCACTATAATAGTTAATAACTAGATAATGTAAAGGCAATTTGCTGAAAATTTCATTCAAATTGATCCACTATGAACCGAGAACTAAGCGTTTGAAATTTCCGTCTAGCCTCGATCATCATTACTAAAGTAGGTATGACAAACAGCATAGTCCCGATTATCCATTTAATCATTAAATCGTGAAGGAAAGTTATGAAGTAAATCGGCTCATAATCCACTAAGGATCGCAGGCTAGCGATGCTATCGGGAGTTGATGATGGTCTGTTGGTTAACTGGTCTCGAGTATCTGATGTCATTGAGAGTTGATTACATGTATGTTCTTGCTTTGTTAATAAATGTTGCATTCCCATTTTTAAATTAAATTTTCAAATAGTGAACCGTTCAAATCTAGTTCAAATATTGAGTATCCAATGTCATCAAGAGTTGATTATGGTCTTGTTTTGTTAATAAATGTCTAATTAATAGATTATATAACATTTCAGGCCTAAAGAAAGACCTGCAATTGACAGATTTAGCTCTTGCATAATGTATGTTTAAACAACATTTCTGGCCTAACGAAAGACCTGCAATAGGCAGATTTAGCTCTTGCATAATGTATGTTTAAACAACATTTCGGGCCTAAAGAAAGACCTGCAATTGACAGATTTAGCTGTTGCATAATGTATGTTTAAACAACATTTCGGGCCTAAAGAAAAGACCTGCAATAGGCAGATTTAGCTCTTGCATAATGTATGTTTAAACAACATTTCGGGCCTAAAGAAAGACCTGCAATAGGCAGATTTAGCTCTTGCATAATGTATGTTTAATATTAAAATACTTACATCAACATAAATAAGACAATCTTCACCAGTCAACAAAACAACATGAACCACTTTACTACGTTTTTTACTGGGAGTCAGCGACGTAGTAGTGGACATATTTTTATTATCACTGTCTCCTCACTCAGTTATCCCCCCTACATCGCAACACATGACATCACAATCATCACACAAACTGAAATAAACAAAAAAATAAGATCAATTACATTTTATTCTACATGGCATTTTGTTTAAATCCGCTTGAATGCTGTTTCAGGGATTTTGAATACCTTGTAAACCATACCTATGTATCAATCCGACAATGTTCAAATCAGTTCAGTATTTACAAAGATACATTTTACATGTACATTGTACAGTATTTACAATGGTCATTTCGGACCTAATACATGGTTTAATTTTATTTCAATAATTCACTTGCGCCTTGGGGTCTTTAGCAGTGGGAGGAAACCGGAGGACTTGGAGAAAACCCACAAGGTTGGACAGGCGACCCTACTCCTTGTCACGTACAACCGAGGAATCGAAACCACGACAGTTGACTCAATGACAGACCTTACGATACAGCGCACCCGTGCTAACCATCCGACCACCTATAAATAAACAAAGGACATTATTTCCACAATATCAAAATTACTGGAGCTAAAGTGTGGTTTAATGGTTTCAATATATTACGCAATGTCTTAAGCTTGAGACCATTAAACAACTTAAACATCCTTTTACAATGAAATACGTCACGGGAGTCCAATATTTCACTAGTATAAATAATGTACGATTAGCAAGTTGCCCGTACGGTTATTTAAAATAAGGATACGCCAACATCAAAGGGTGACGTCACATCTGTATTTTAAAACTGAATAATGTGCATTTAAAGATTAGAAGCTGATTAATGACAACAAAATATTTAAATTTCATAGGCGTTACCATTTACTTGAATACCTAGCATATCGAAGCCCTTTGGTGATGACAACACTATGTAAATTGGTTGGTTTTATTAGAGTATGTGATCTATCTTATTAAAGTATGTGACCTAGTTAAACTAAAAAAAGTATGTAATATGTCTATTCAATATGTATGTCAAGCACATTGAACTCAAAGCACTTTGGTGAAGACACCATCATATAACTGTTCGGTATCAATGCATCTGATAAGAATACGTGATCATTAGCAGTACATGTATGTATGTGACCTAAATCCTACATGTATCTTATTAGTAGTATGTGACCTATCTTATAATTAGTAGTACGTGACCGAGTTGAACACAAATATCATGTATTGTATGTAATGCACATCGAAGCACTTTGGTAAAAACACGATCGTATAATTATTCTGTATTTTGTATTTTATTCCGGTATACATGTATGTGACCTACATGTACTGTAACAATCCATTTTAAATAGAGTATGCAACCTATCGTATGAAAATATGCAACCTATCTTATTAAAGTATGATGAATACGAAAGTAATTTATGCCCATTAAAGTAGCTAAGTCTATAACTCAATATCACCCAAAGTCTTTGACATTGAAAACACAAATTATTTGTCAATTTAAATCAACATTGATGTTGTGATATTACAGAGAAAAGACAGGCTTCTGATATCCAATATTTAAGACAAAATAAACATTTTACCATCCGTACACGAATCGTGTAGCATAATGTGTTTCAGCGCCATTTGTAACAATAGCTCGAAGAACGAGACTAGACATATTCCACAAGTCATGTCAAACGGTGACATCATATTCTTATCAGGAGAGCATGCACAATAAATACTATCGGTGTAGACTGGAATAACCAGACGCTAGAGATCGCCATTCGATTGAGACTTCTGGCGTATTTCGTGGAACATAACTGATTTTAAATTAGAATAAAAACGGAAACGATTGAAGGTAAATCAGTTTATATACATTCATATTACATTATTCTATTGTGTTGCGACCCATTTGTGTCAACTTCTAGGTGCCAAATATTAGCTCCTTTAAATACATGTATGTATATGAAAAGAATGTTTTATTTCTTTATATCTGAGTCAGAACGGAGGGCCTGACAAGCACAGCTGTCTAGTCCTTCGGATGACACGAAAGACTGAGGTCCCCAGTATATAATGGGATACAAGTAAAAGATCCCCTGGTAGTTGGAATTCGACATAAGAGTAGGCGATAGTGCCGCTGCCCGGGCAAAATTTCCCTAATAGCACACTGTATGGCGTATGCCTGTCTTCATTAGCCCAGTATAGGAGCAGAACAGTAGGACGATAACTCCATTTCATTTCATTTATATCTGTGTATTTATATCAAGTGTACTGAACCAATTTCGTGAAGACAGGGTCATGTAACAATGAATCTGAATTGAGAATGTGGCCTATCTTTTTAAAGTATGTGACTGTGAATAAACATGTAAAAATAATGCATAAAGTTATTCGATCATTACAGCACAAGATGGTGAAAAGATTCATCTAATCTGCAGATTTAGTATATTATCGTCTCACGTGTTTTTAATCCTGCGAAATCTATGAATTAAAATAACCAGTTAAGATGTGATAACTTATCATTATTGTTATTTCAACACGACAAGGCCTACTTATTTTTCATATTGTTACTTGAACATGGCCTTCAGGCTATTGTTACATTGTAGGCCTACATAAGCTACAATGTGTGCCTTCACGATAATGTAATTAAGTCAGGAATTTGCCCATCCATTTTGCTTATCTCCTCATCATCATAGCCAATTCTCCAATGAATTTGAATCCCAAATAAAAACCAATTTGACTTTTTACATGACTTATTCATAAAAGCAACATTATCAACAGTAAAGCAACTATGTAATTAGTTAGCGGAACAAGTGACAAAAGAAAATATTCAAAAAATAACCGAGACAATAAAAAATGGCCATAAAAATATTAAAAAATCTGTTGTGCACTCAAGCGAGATAAGGAATCTTTATTATTATTCATTTTGCCCTTCCCTGGCCTTACACTAACTTCATTCAAGCGATTGGATGCCTTCAAAGATTTCAAAGATATTTTTGAAAACACGAATGTCGGCGATACAAACCTTCTGTACATGGAATCATAAAAACTCCCTCTTGGCTGCTATTCCATCCATTATGCTTAATTCCTTGTAATTATGAAGATAAAAGGAGAAATATTTGACATTCCTAATTTCTTTTGTGGACAGTGAGCTTTCATTAAACGTACTCTTCGAGACAAACGTTCTTGTCATGACCTACTTTCTGAAAATGTCAAATTCTTTTGTAGACAAACATTATTTTTTAACGTGAGCCAAATTTTGCTCATCAAATTCAAAACTATAACAAAAATTTTTGTAGTTTATATATTCAGAATTTATTTGTTATTATTTACAATAGCAGTGTTTTGTGGTGGAGGTTTATTTTATTCTCGTATTACCAGTCTGATGGGATTTAGTGTTTGTCCCATAGATATCAGTGTAAATGGTAAATTTTGGAGTCTCTATTTGATGGTTGGATAATCGAAGGTAAAGTACCGGAAGCACGTGGATGTAAACAGAACAGAATAATTATCTTGTTTATTTTTTTCAATTGAAAGATTCTTGATCAAAGTAAAAAAATTAACTTTGTAGACTTTGTAAGTATTACCTACGGATTTTCTCTATCGCATTCAATAAATCTTTTCTTAGACAAAACTAACTGTAAACATGATAAAAAAGATATTCCTAAAAATGTCCCGGTAATCTCAATTGATAAATTGAAAGTAGATGTTTATTTATAAATTCTAGTTCTGTGATTGCATGTACCATCATCATCCACGTTAAAATCACTGATTTTCAGAATTTATGATATGTGATATATGCTGTGATGTGTTTGTTTTTAGCTACGATTGAGTGCCTTTCCTTTTTAGTGCCGCCTGGCAAATTTAATTTCTTTATTAATGAATGTAACATCTTAAAATAAGTTAATTTTATACTATTAGTATATTAGGACTAATTAAACATACCCAACCCAATCTAGTGAAACAACTTTAGCTTATCTGCAAATATTATCAGTAAATTTATTCAAGCAGTGTTTTTATTTATGAAAATTGATACAGACATTCATATTATGGTGTATCATTAGTCATGACTTCCTACTTACTTGTGGTTTTATATCCACAAATATTTAGCACCGCCTTCATTACGTAACTAGATGTGGAAATGCCAGCAATCATATAAAAGAGATGTTTTTTTGTACCTGTGTCATGTTGGATTATATTTTTATCGGTAATTGTAGTTGGATATGGCAGAAATATTATAATTAACAATAATCAATCATTGTTTTAAAGAAAGAATATTGACAATTTTGCTTTTTGAAGTCCGATTTGATTTACATTGGGGTTTTGCCAGGTAAAACTATATAGTACCATCTCTTTATCTCGAAACATGGCGGGTTTCTTACAGTGTATCTATGTCTATCCCACCTTTATTATATTGTATATAAGTGCTATAAATCTTTGTGACAGACTTCAGGACTGATAGACCAACAGTTTGCTGAACTACAAAGGCCTCATAGGTGATGAGATCGCAGTGATGATGATATGCGTATCGGTTCTAGAACACCTAATGCCACCTCTGCCTGGGTCATTTAACACCCATTAGTACCACATACTGTGGGCCAATTCATTTGTAGCTGGAAGGTTGGAATGTTTAGCATGTGCGCGCTGTATCATAAGGCCTGTCATTGAGTAAACTGGCATGGTTTCGAATCCCCGGAGACACGTGCTCGCTGCACGCTGTATCATAAGGCGTTGTTTTGAATCCCCCGTTGTACGTGACAAGGAGTAGGGCTGCCTGTCCAACCTCGTGGGTTTTCTCCGGGTCCTCCAGTTTTCTCCCACTGCTAAAAACCCCTACGCGCAAACGAATTATTGAAAAAAATTAAACCATATGTTAGTCCCGAAATGACCTAGTTTGTGTCGAGTGGACGTTAATCTCCATTTTTCTCTCTCTCGAATCCCCGGTTATACGTGACAAGGAGTAGGGTCGCCTGTCCAACCCCGTGGGTTTTCTCTAGGTCCTCCGGTTTAATCCCACTGCTAAAGACCCATACGCGCAAGCAAATTATTGAAATAGAATTGAACCATATGGTAGTCCCAAAATGATCTAGTTTGTGTCGAGTGGACATTAAACCCCATTTCCCTCTGTCTACTAATCTTGGTATAGGTCTATAATTGCATGGTACATCATGATGGTAATGTAGCATGACCTACATGTAGCTGGTATGGCCTGTCAGTTAAATCAAATCTGCTTGAGAGACAAAAACTAGGTCATTTCAGGACTAACATATGGTTTATTTTTTTTTTATTTCAATAATTCGCTTGCGCGTAGGTGTCTTTAGCAGTTGGAGGAAACCGGAGGAACCAGAGGCGACCCTACTCCTTGTCACATACACCGGGGGATTCGAAACCATGCCAGTTGACTCAGTGACAGGCTTTATGATACAGCGCACACATGCTAACCATACGGTCATCCAACACCATAATCTGCTTGCGAAAAAACAGATTCTAAAACTCCTCACCAAATTATTGTCCATCAAAAATTATTTTCATTTCAAGCCTAAAACTATGACTTATTCTCACACCGATGTATTTTTTTTCTTGAAGAAAAATGACTGGAGAGTTTACTTCGACTGATGATTGGAAGAAAAGATTAAAGAAATCAGAAGAGAATGAAAAACTCATTGAAGAAATAGTTCCTGGTATTACAGAGAGAATATCTCAACTCAACAATTCTAAAAACCTGTAAGATCCAATCTGATTAAAACACAGATCCTATTTCGTTTCGTTTTTATAGTTCAAAATTTCGTTTTACTTGTCTTTACTACACTAGGATCTGGAAGAGTTGTTATCATTGACATGTTCTGAATAGTGAGAGGTATAAGCCAATGAGTGCTTTAGGCGTGTTTTACACAAAACTGTGGGTAATCTACTAGTAACATCAATACTGATTGGTTAATCAAATGTCTGACGTCATAGGGTCAAAAGCCGCTTGTATGACCTCTGACGCGACCTTCCAGTACAACTTGTCAGATCTTCATGTAGGTCGTCGAAAGTATAAAAAAAAACGAAGCGAAATATAGATCTGTATTCTAATCAGATTGCTGTAAGATTTTTGTATTGGACAGGACCTATAAAACTTAACTGAGATAAAATCCAAATTTTAGTAATTTAATTGGATAATATTAGATTGATTTTAGTGCTAAGGCAATCAAAATTGAAGTATCTACTAAAATTTGGATTTTATCTTAAAGTAGCTAAGTCTCTAACTCAATATCATCCAAAATCTTCAACATTGAAAACACAAATTATTTGTCAATTTAAAACAACATTGATGCTGTGATCTTACCGGAAAAAGATGGGCTTCTGATATCCAATGTTTAAGACAAAATAAATATTTTACCATTGGTACACGAATCGTGTACCATAATGCGTTGCAGCCCCAGTTCTAGCAAGAGACTCGAGGAACGAGGCTAGACATATTGCACCAAACCAAACGACGTATGAAGACTGGAATAACCTGACGCTAGGAATTTGCATTCGATTGAGACTGCTGGCTTATTTCACGGAACATAACTGATTTGAAATTAGACTAAAAACGGAAACGATTGAATGTAAATCAGTTTATATACATTCATATTACAGTATTATATGAGTTGCGACCCACTTGTGGCAATTTCTAGGTCCCAAATGTTAGCGATTTAGCTCCTTTAAGTTAAAATTTCGTGAATCAGGCCCAAGATTGCTACATGTATATAGGAAAAATGAAAATGAAATGGGGGTTCAACGTACTACTGTTCTGCTCCGGCTGGGCTATGAGGGAAATTTTGCCCTGACAGCGGCGATACGGCCTACTCTTAAAACAAATTCCAACTGCCAAGGAATCTTTTATGTGCATTCCAATGTGTACACAGGGCCCTCTGTCCTGCACCACTGACAAGGGGAAACTATGTCAGGAAAACCTGATGAACTTTCTCGGCAAACACCGGGAGCGAACCTGCTACCTCCCATCTTCAATAGAAGGCTTGATCTCGCTTTAATTACGTACATCTTATCAAGGCCTTCACGTAATACCCTGCATATTGCGGCACTAGTTTCGATTGGGTACAAGCCCAACTTGTGAGCCTATCAGATTCCTCGATCGTCGCGAATACCAAGTCTCGCGCTTTCAAGCTAAAATGTCTACCTGTGATAATCGAGTTGCAAAGTTCAAGGTTCATTCAATGTCAAATTTTCCGTGGAGGTCGCGATGTCACAACCTCTGATTGGACGCTACTGCTCGCGTGTCTGTTGATAACATAGCTATAAGTTAGGGAATTGTAAAGTAAACAAGCAACGGCCGATGTTGTGAAACTCGCAGTCGTTGCTTCAGGAACATGGCGACCTCCAGGCTAGCGAGCCAGCATCTTACTTACTTAGCCACCGTGGCTCCTGCTAAACACAGTAAAATGTTAATCTCCATTTCATTTCTGCTTTCTTAAAGATGGGTTCCCAGAAAAGTATTTATCGGGTGGTTATTTCCAATAAAAGTATGGCAATTTTGGTATATATGGAAAGTAAAGATATCCAATCTTACTAGAAAAATACTGGATTCCCCGAAAAACACTCATGGAGCGTATACAGGACAAAAATGTAAGGGTTCCCCTAATCGACAGCCCGACGATTAGGAACTTCTGCACGCGTGATGTCAAAGGTCACAAGCTAACATTGAGCGCTTGATGTACAAGTTGATAAACGTTATGAAGAGTTAGACGTAGAATACTTTCTGAGATAAAAATGACGGAAAAAGACGCGGGTAGTGGATAATCCGAGAATTTAATTAGGATTCGATATTTGTAATAAATAGTAAGCGATTAAAGACAACATCGTCTTATGTATGCAATGAATTCTCCTCTGACTCCCAAGACGTGACGTAAACATGGCCTGGTTTGATCGAATTTTAATAGCAGGGCATTCCTTCGCAATGTTTGAGAAGGATTTGAAGCATAATTATGACAAATTAATTAGTTTGAATATGTTTTTGGTCCATATATACCATTAAATCACCCAGTTTGTACGCGGGAACCCATCTTTAATTAAATGTTAAAATAATCAGTCAATATACCTGGGTTAGTAAGTTGATATTAGCGTGGAATAATCTGCCATAAATATGATATTTTATTTGAAAAATGGATTAAAATTGTTT